TTGCGTAATTAAAGGGGACCACCCATATGGAGAGGGATGAGAGACTTAAAGGCGCATAACTCGGTTAAAAATTGGAGTTTCAAAATGAAATAAAATGGGGAAATGTAGGTGTTAAGAAGATCTACAAAATGGTATAAATTTGACAATGTATAAAACTACAGGTTTTCCAAACAGGCGGTACTCCGTTGGCGCCAAATTTTTTGTGACGTCAGCTTGATATCTTAAAACATTTATAGAAAATCTAATCTTATATCATACTATACATCTTTCCAAGACCTACGTTTTACAACTAGTTTGAATCGAAAATCCCAAGTTTAAAGCAAGTTATGCGCCTGGGAACGGAACTAGGTACGAACAAAAACAAGAGAAGGGGGGGGGGGGGGGTAGCGATTTTTGAGTCAAACTTTGTAGACATTTTTGCAACTTCATGAACTTGAATCCAGTTACATTTTTTATACCAATTTGTAGATCTTTTCTAGTCCTACATTTTGGTGTATAGATCTTTGAAAACTGTTAAATATGAAGCGAGTTACAAGTCTACGAAAAATTACGATCTTCATTTTTGTGATTTCAAAGTTTTAAATGGTCATTTCTAAGAAATCAAAAAAAAAACTCCAAGATAGCTAAATTTTATATAGTTTTGAAGCTCTAATTGAGATCCATATTTTTCAATTTTAATCTCTAAAAAAAAAAAACTTTGAAGAAATAAATAGCCTAGAAAAAAAACACATTTTAGGCGCCCAACCGGCACGTGTCCCAACCCTACGTCTTTCCAATCTTCTCCGAATTGCGCAAGGTTGTTCTACACATCAGTTGATAACCTCTTGGACCATGTTATCAGCGGCGGCCTTTTTGCCCTTTGATCATAATTAAGGACCCGTGCGCGGCCTGACATGTCTCTTCTCACCTTTGTAATACTTATATCTTCATATCCAATCAATTGAGAGTAGAGGAAGAGAGCATATCTCTTAAGGGCATCTTAGGATGGAACAGGGGCATGGCAAGATGGTGTAAGATCCGGTTGAAAAAGAGGTACGGTAGTTCTGTGCATTCTGAAATGCACAAAATTTCTGTGAGCAAGAGTCGGCGCCAGAGTGCTTCAATCATTTGGGATTTTAAAAAGGCTGCAACTTCTTTCAAACTTTACATTTCAGAATGATGCTTATATCAAATTGTAGATCTTGAACAGATCTACAATTTAATATTAAATTTTATAATGTTAAACCAAAAGGCCTCTAAGCAGGAGCTGATTGAGCGTGCCCAGGCGCCGGCGCATTTCTCAAGACTGTAACTCTCTTTATACTTAACATTTCTGAATGAATTTTATATCAAATTGTAGATTTTGACAATATCTTCATTTTGATATTAAATTCAATTTGCTTCTTTCCTAATGTCGCTGAGCAGGAGCTGTCTGAGAGTGGCAGGGCGCGCCAGGGCCTGCTAAGAGAGATGGTATTGCTTCAAGTTTTGGATTTTGGAATCCAAGTTATATCAAATTGTAGGTCTCAATGAAATTTTCAATTTAATATAAAATTCAATCTTTTTCACAAATAGTCTGTAATCCTTTTTTCTTCTAGACATGAGCTCCTGCCTGGACGCGAGGATTATTCCTATCAAAAGAGCCTCCCTCAAATGCAATGTTACAAAACATCCTTCAACATTTTTCAAAAGACCGAGCTCCTTTGAATATGTTAAATGCAATCTGTACAAGTACATAAAACCGTTATCGGTCCAACTAGACACGTGTCTAGTCTTCAAGACGTGCCGAGTGTTGCGCAAGGTACTAATAGGGGGTATAGTATGTTCTTAATTGGGATCATCATAGAAGAGGAGTGCAAACAATCTTTATTCATAAGACGCGTGTTTCAAAACTTGGCAATTTACGCGAATTGCTTAGAAAAGACAGAAGATGATATGTTTCCTTTTTTGAATTGTTTAATTTGGAATTGAAACAAGCAGATAAATGTCGGTCTTCAGAAAAACTACAAGTTGATATAACGTTTGTTTAGAAATCAGGAGTTTGAAGAGGGTCATGGTCTCTTGAAGAGTTCACATTATTGACTTGTACCTCGCTTCATATTCAACAGTTTTCAACGATCCATACATCAAAATGTAGGACTTGAAAAGACCTACAAAACGGTATAAAATGTGACTGGTTTAAAATTTATGAAATTGCAAAAAATGTCTACAAAGTTGGACTCAATAATCGCTAACCCCCCCCCCCCCCCCCTCATGTTTTTGTTGTTGGTACCTAGTTCAGTTCCCAAGCACATAACTTGCTTCAAACTCGGAATTTCTAATTGAAATTAATTGTAAAATGTAGATCTTGAGCAGATCTACAGAATGGTATAAATTTTGTCTATGTTTGGTTTTCCCTACTTTTTCTACAAGTCAACAGAAGGCGGAGTTTCCTTCAAACTTCAAAATATGTAGGTATAGAATGTTCGGCAGCTTGTAACTTTCTCAATACTCAATATTTTTTAATAGTTCAAAGAACAAAATGTAGGTCTTGAACAGATCTACAACATGGTATAAATTTTGGCTTCATCAGAATTTCTAATTTCCCGTTAAGCTAGTTCTTAAAACGTCGGTTTTGAGGAGATGAACAGAATGGTATGAAGTAGTCCAAAAATTGATGAAAAATGTTTTTAAACAGGCTACAAAACTGCTAAATCCTTGACACCAGGTGACAGTGCGTTCCTAATAGGTGCTAAACATCCGTAACCCCAAAATAGTGTCCCTTCCGTTCCCCTGGGGATCTTCCCAGGGGGTCTGACCCATTAACCGGAAGGTTCGGAGACGTTATGGGGACAATGTGAAGGTCCAGAAGTACCGTAACCAACAAATCGCGTTTCCTCAACTTTAAGGGTTTCCAAGTCCCTTGAAAGCCTCCCATCTGGGTCCTTTCACCTTCTTATCTGGTCCAAATCATAAAGAAGGTACATGACATGATGTACCTCGACAAAAAACAAGTTCATCAAAAATCGTGTCACTTTTACGGCAGGCCGACCAATTAGCAAGTCGGTGTCGGGGCCTTTTTGGGACCTCAAGTAGTAGTTTGGACACACTTGAAAATTGTTATCGATGAGGTTGTCACAGTTTTTTATGGTCATTTTTAAGATCGGCATTTTTCAGATAGCAATCTACAGTATCTCCCTTTGCAGTCCAAAAAAAGTGACCCAAGTTACATTTTAATTTGTCAGAGCAGATAGACAGGGTTACAGATAAATCGACGGATTGGTCAAAGGCGGCCTACCAACTTTGAGCTCTAACATCTTTCTTAAGAAACGAGATATATGAGCTCAAAGTTGAAAAACTATTTTCTCCTGAAAATTTTCAGAAATCCCCAGAATCACTTTGACGCCTTCACACTACCAGAAGCGGTCACGACCGGGTCGTGACCCCCTATTATACCGGATGTGGTGAAAAATATTGCGGATGACAAATGATGAGCAATGTGAAGAGAGCAAACACTACAGTATATAGATTTCGAGACAAAAAAAACTGAAAATTTGAAAATCGAAAAACCAAAAACCATAGAATAAAGGACCATGAAATGCTGAAATTCAGAGAATCTGAAAAATCCTAAAAGTTGGAAAAAAAATCCATTTTCTTCAAAAAAAAAAAGAAAAAATAACATAAATTTTTAAAAAAGAAAATTTCAAAAATTAAAAAAAAAAGTTTTTTTTTTGAAAATTTGAACTTTTCGAAAACTTCTAGAGCCTTCTGGAAATTTTCTGAAAATTCTGAAAATCCATATTTTGAATTCCGAAATTTTCTCGAACTTCCTCATACCGTAAAACCTGTAATAGAAGGGCACCCAAACTTTCAACTGTGAGCCAATTTATCTCGGTTTCTATAAGAGATATCAAAAATTTGTCAATTGACGAATCGTTTATTACAATATCACTAATATTTTAACAGTTGACACACTTTTGATATCTTTTACAGCAACCGAGATAATTGAGCTCAAAGTTGGTAGTGTGGAGGCCCTTCTATTACAGGTTTTACTTATCTGGCCCAGAATGTGATTAAATATGATCGAGTCATTTTGGAATTTTCGAAAAAAAAAATTCAAAATTTTTTTTAAATTCTGAGTAATCTCCACAGATTATGAATATTCGAAAAAAAATCAAAATTCGAAATTTTTGGAAATTCAAAACATTTTTATCTCATTCCCAGCATTTTCAGTTTTATCCTCTTTTTTAACAATACTTATCAGAATCTACAGTACCCCTCTATCTTCTCCAAATAACCAAAAAAAAATTTTCGAAAAAAAAACTTTTTTTTGACTCATCATTTTGTCCCAGAAAAAACGAACGAAATTAGTCATTTGGTTTGGTCCTGCTGGCACTGATTTCCCAAAAATTCATTGTTTAAAAAAAGTGATCTTTTTAGTGTAAAAATCTAGACAATTTTTTGAAATCACACATTTTCCAATTACAGTAGTCTAGGATTCTAATTCAGAAAGCTCTCATTCCTCTAATACCAGGCGAACAATTTTTAATTTTTACAATTTTTTTCGAGACTTTGAAAATTTCGAAAACCAAAACAAGTTGAAAAACTATTTTTCAACCTTTTATTCCCAAAATTTCGGGTCTTCTGAACCTCATTAATCTTTATAAACCACCCCGAGGATTTGCGAATTTTCCGAAATTTCGGAAATTTCCCGAAAAATGTTCATTTTCTGATTTTCTGCACACCCGTACACACAATTCCCAATATATCTTCCTTTTCAAGGTGATCATCTCATTCTTCTCTCGCCTCTCTCCCCCTACCGTACCTCGAGACCCTATGCGCAAAAGGTGGGCGGGGCGTCTGCAGAGGCTCCGCCCCCATTTCTCCACAGGTTCGTGTCAAAGGCGTGTCCGTTTCCTAGGCAAGACATCCATAGGAATATCCTTAACGGTTTCTGTTATATTCATAATTCATAATTCTTAGAGATTGCTCAGCTTTAACAAAAGTTTGAAAAAATAATTTTTTTCAAAATTTCTGAAAAAATGACCACGGACTCGATCACATTTAATCACATTCTGGGACAGGTAAGTATGAGAAAAGTCTAGAAAAGTTCCGATTTTAGAGTGCGGGTTTTCAGAATTTCCAGAAAATTTGTTTCTGGAAATGTTCGAAAAATTCTAAATTTCCAAAAAAATTTTTTTTGAAAAGTTTCAACTTTTCAATTTCTCGAATAACTTGTTTCTGGGTAATTCTGGACCGATATTTTCAAAATTTCCAGTTTCCAGGACATCTGGAAATCTGGAAACACAGCAATCCACATTTTCCTCATTTTTGTTTATCCAGATGTCCATATCGCTTTGAAATCGGTAATTTTTAACCTAGAAAGCTGATTTTTTTATGAAAAATGTTTAGAATTTTCAGGAAATTTTGAATTTTTAAAAATCTTTAAAATCTAAGGATTCTTAAAACCCCAAAATCTTTAATTTTCCATTTCAGGGTCGCGTCAATCAACTCGGCGGAGTTTTCATCAACGGCCGCCCACTACCTATCCACGTGCGACATGCTATCATAGCAATGGCAAAGAAGGGAGTCAAGTGAGTGAGATGGCTTAGGTTCCCAATGGTGGCCTAAAAATCCAGATTTGCTATTTCTAGGCCATCTTTTTCCAGTTTAGATCTAGTTTCTAGCTCGTCTAGGAGCTTGGAAATCTTCCTTTGAAGTTTTGGGGTGACAATTTTTTAAGCTGAGCAACAAGTGAATGGGGCCTAGAATTTCTTAATGGTGGCCTAGAAATCCAAATTTGCTATTTCTAGGCCATCATTTTCCAGTTTAGATCTAGTTTCTAGCTCATCTGTGAGCTTTGAAATTTTGATTTGAAATTTTTAAAATGGGATTTTTTAAGGCTGAGCAATCTAGAATTCCATTTCCAGACCCTGTCACATATCGCGTCAACTCAAAGTCTCACATGGAGCTGTGTCGAAAATTCTGAATCGTTACGCTGAAACTGGGTCCATTTCTCCAGGACAGGTAGGTCTCAAAATTTCAAAAAAAAAATTCCCAGAAAACTATCCGAATGAATTTTCGTGGACCTCAAAAATTCAGGTACAGTAACCCGAAAATCGAAAAATGCAAAAAAATTTCCCCGCCAAAAAAAATTGTTCGCCAGGGGACAGACAGGTGTGTTTTTCTCAGCATGGGGTCCTTCGAAAAATGGTGGCGTTTCGGGAAACGAAAAATATCGAAAAATCGACATCAGGTATACTGTAGATGAATCGAAAATTAGATTTTTTTGAAATTTCAAAAAACAAATTTTGGCGGGAAATTCGAAAATATTGGGGCGGTTGCCTAGGATTTTAAAAATGACCTAGTAAATTTATATTGTCTGGTCCTCGGCCCCCGTGCGATTCTTGAGAATTCTGAGCCATTGGATTTTGAGATTTTTTGAAATATTCACGCATTTTTCAAAAGTCATGGGGTTCACTATGGCCTAGAAATACCAAACGGTGGCCTAGATAACCAAAATTTTGGATCCAAGGCCATTTGGAAATTCTAGGCCATAACTCGAAAATTGGGGAAACTGGGAATACACGTTCTGGGTTTCATTGTGGCCTAGAAATCCCTAGTGGCCTAGAAAACTACATGACCTGGAAAACTAACATTTCTCATTCTAGGCCATGGCCTAGAACCCGACAAAATTGCTTTTTCTAGGCCACACTGCTCCAAAAACTCCCTGCCACCTAACTTTTAACTCTGAGCCAATTTATCTCGGTTTTTTTTAAAGATATGAAAAAGTTGCCAACTGATAAATTGTTAAGCATAATATCACAAACATTTTATTAGTTGACCACTAATTGATATCTTTTATAGGAGCCGTGATAATTAAGGTTAAAATGCAAATGCAAAAATGTCAAAAATAAATAAAAACTCCCTAACTTTGAGCTCAGTTATCTCGGCTCCTGTTGAAGATATCAAAACTTTGTCAACTGATAAAATGTTTATCATTACGTCAGAAACATTTTATCAATTGACACATTTTTGATATCTGTTACAGTAACCGAGATAATTGAGCTCAAAACGGGGGGACCCGTCTAAAAGCTCTCAAAATTGTCGGATTCTAGTCCACTAAAATCGAGTAAATCCAAAATTTTTCTTTATTTTCAGATTGGTGGCTCACCGCGAGCCCGTCTTACTGTACATGCTGTCGAGAAGGAGATAATCATTGCTCATGAAGAGAATCCGCATTTGAGTGCCGCGGAGCTACGTGATGTGCTCGTCCAAAAAGACGTGTGTACCAAGGGGAACGCACCTACAGTACCCGCAATTAAGCGGTTAATTGGGGCAAGAGGTAATTAGTTGGGATACTGTAAATTTGAAGATTTTTAAAGGTTTTGAAAACAAATGTTTTTTTTTCGAAATTCAAAAAAGTGTGACAAATTGAAAACAAATAGAAAAGGGGTAGCAATTTTCTGATATCTATGAGATGGAATGTTTGCTTAGTTATATATGACCATGAAAGAGAAGAGAAAAAGGAGTCTGGGAAATTTGGAGAAGTTTGAAAAAGAAATTTGAAATTTTTGCAATTTTTGAAATTTTTCAGAATTTTAGAAAATTTGAATTTTCACAATTTCCTATATCAATTTTCCAAAAATTAACAAAATCCAATTTTTCAGGGCCTTTGTCCTTTTTTCTCATAAATTTCCTTTTTTTTTGTTTTATCAGAAAAAAGGATAGTTCCCGTTTTTCTTATCACCTAATCAATCATTTTTTCACCTTGAAAAAGAAAAAAGAATTGATATCTGTGACGAAAAAAAAAGAAGAGAAAATTTTATAAAAATCTGAAAATTCAAAAAACTTTGAATTTTTGGATTTTTGGGTTTTTGAAAATTCAGAAGCTCTAGATTACTGTAGTTATCAAAAATCAGAAATCCGAAAAAAATGGAAATTTCTGCAAAAATTCAAAATTCAAAATTCCAATTTTCGATCTGGAATGTCTGAAAATGTTGAATTTTTCGACACACAATAACCCATGGGCAACCCTACAGTAACCCTAGCCTACAGTAACCTGCAACATATTTCACAAATTTCATGAAATTCAAGTTCTGGAAATTTCGGATTGTTCGGAATTTTTCTAATTTCAAATTCTGAAAAATCTGAAAATTTAAAAAAAATCCAAAATACAAAAAACAAAAAAAAACTTAATCAAAAAATCTAAGATCTCGAAAAAATCAGATTTTCAAAAATACTGTAAAACCTGTATTAGAAGGGCTCCTTTAATAGAAGGGCCCCTCTAATAAAAGGGCCCTCCGAGAGGGGCTCGAGAAGATGGAAGGACTCCCTCTAATTGAAGGGACCTCGTTTCGAAATCAGAAAATTTCCGTACTTTTTCAGTGGAAAATATTCCGAGAACTCCAAAATTTGATAGGAATTATTCGAAACTTTATTTTTTGATGAAAATCTTGTTAATATTTGGTGAAATTGGCAGATTTTCATGAATTTTTCGATGCTAAATTTTGGAAAAAACTGGCTGAAAAAAATAGAAGGGCCCCCCCCTCTAATTGAAGGGCCCTACGGAGGTACCTTGGAACAATAAAATGGCCGACCCTTCCAATACATGACGGTATAAAAAATCTAAACATCCATATTTTAAAAAAATCCAAAAAATCCCAAAAATCCCAAGAGACCCCCAATTTCCAGGATCTCCACCATCATCCAACAGTTCTCACCATCCGACACCGCAAATCAAAAAAATGGAACGAAAACGACTGAGCTACAGTATTGACAGTATTCTGGGCATTTCGATAGGTTAGTTTATTTTGTTAATTTCCAAAAAAAATGTTTTTCTTTATACAATTTTTTTCAAAACCAAAACTTTTTTTTCGGTTTCCAAAAGTTACCAGTTTTCACACATTTATAATTTGGTTCCGTTTCGCGTCCTCCAGGCATGATTTCCTATTCCAATTTGCCGTTTTTTCGCCTCTCTTTTTTCTGGTTTTCTCCAATTTCCTGTCATATTCCTCCCACAGAAACCAATCCATACTTGTTGCAACTTTTGAAATTAATTCTGGGGGACCTACAATAACCCATAAATTACGGTAGATACAGTAACCTGCAAAATGTTTGAAACAACCCCAAACATTCCGAAATTTCGTGATGTTCAGAAAATTTTGAAATTCCAAAAAGTTACTGTAGGGACCCACCAGTAACCCACTAAAGTAGCTTTCCGGATTACTGTAGATTTCTGAACCCTCTTTGCCCCGCACAAAAAAGCGCAAAAAGATGAAAAGTAGAAGAAGAAAAGGGATTACTGTAGTTCTCTTCTCTTATCAAACACAACGGACGGTCATTAACACTTTTTGATGAAGTATAGTGTCTTCTGAATTCAGACGACGTCGCCCGCAAATTCTTTCATCACCTTCTCTTTGTCAATTTATCAGTAGATAAATGACTATTTGTGTTTGGTTGAAATGTGAAAATGAGAAGGACATGGGAATTTGAGAGATAGTGTGGGAATAGGAGAGACGGAAAAGAAATTGGACAAGGTTTTCGATTTCGCTCTTGCAACGGAAGCATGACTAATTGAGAAGCGTAGCTACAGTAATCTCATCTTTTTAGTAGAATAATCCGAAGTACAGAAAGCTACTGTAGTGGGTTACGATACTTTGACTTGCAGAAATGTTTAGGAATACTGTACCATAGATTACTGTAGTTTTGGTTACGAGAAGACCTACAGTAATCCAGAAAGCTATTGGGATTACTTACTTGTGGGTTCCTGTTAGTGTACTTAAGGATCCTGGTACTTTGGGTCCCTGTACTTTTAAGGGTTACTGTACTGCATTTCTGTTGTGGGTCAAAAAAGACATACAGTAGATACTGAGATGATTTTCGGGTTACTGTACCCCCGATTACTTTAACCGTCTCTGGATTACTTTTTTTTTTAATTCCCAAAATTTCCTTAATTACTGTACTATTTTGTGGGTTACTGTACCTGTTTTTTTCTCTCGACAATTTCCGTTTTACCTATTTTTGGGGGTAGGAGGGTCATGACGACCCCCCGTTGACACTTTTGTTCCTTTGTTTCCGAAATTTCTTGAAAATCTAGAGTAAAATTGATGAGTGTAGCAAAAACTACAGTAATCCGAAAAATTGGAATATTTCAAAAAAATCGAAACATTTCATGATCACTAAACCTATTTATCCTTTTTTTTTCAATTTCGAAAAATTCCAAACAATCTTGAAATAATTTAGAAGTTTCAACATTTCGAATTTTGAAACTTGAAAAAAAATGTAAAAAAATTTTTTGGGGTATTTTTAGTTTCCCAAAGTTTCAGTTTTTCTGGATTACTGTGTGTGTGTGTGTGTGTGTGTGTGTGTGTGTGTGTGTGTTGTAGCAAAAAGTACAGTAATCCAAAAATGCCATAAAATTAGAAAACCTAAATATCGGAAACTGAAAATTTCGAAACTTTTCGATTTTCGGAATATTTTTTAAGAAATCAAGAAAAATTTTTTTTTCAAATTTTTAAAATTTCACCAATTTCAAAAAAATCCTATAGTTCACACTCTGATTTTCTGACTGGATTACTGTGTCTTTTAAAAAAGGATTACTGTAGAAAAAGTTCTCCCAAGACCTCGAAAACTCAACTTTTTATTCCAAATCTCCAGGAAATTACATTTCCTCTCTCCAAATCTGTCAGTTGCTTTTTTTTTGGAAAAAGAACGTGTGAACATTCATTTAACGTCTTCTTCTTCTCCTTTTCCTTACTTTTTCTTCTAAATAGCAATTAAAAAAGATTTGCGCACTTGATATGTCCCCTCCTCCCCATCTATTCAAATAGGAGAATTGAACATATTTTGAATTTCGCGCCCAATTAATTTTCCGGATGATTTGAAGAATACATAGTAAAACTTCGCAGGAGGAGGTCAGATAATGGGATGGATGATCAGAATGCGCGAAAAAAAATACGGTTTTGGGGATTTAGAGATTACTGTAGAAGAATATGGGCATTTGGAATAGAGCCAGCCATCTTGGGTTACTGTGACTAAATTGATTAGGTGTAACTATCCATTAGGCGTGGTGGGATTGGATTACTGTAGTTTCCAACAGATAAGGGATTACTGTACTTTTGTGGACTAGAGCGTCTGGGCCGCCCAGACGATTGGACCATCCAAACCGTCCAACCGCTTAGGCCATCTAGACAGTCTAAAACTATCAGACCCGCGACCTATGCCGTATTTTTGAACTATGGAATTTTCCGATTTTCGGAAATTTAGTGATTTTAGAATTTCACTAATTTTGGAGGTTTTTTTGGGGTTTTGGAAAATTTTGATTTTTAAAAATTGAATTTTCAGTTTCTTCCAAAATTTCGAAATTTGGAATTCCTGCATTTTTGAATTTCCATAATGCTGAAATTTTTACTGTAAAACCTGTATTAGAAGGGCCCCCTCTAATTGAAGGGCTTTTCTATTACAGGGGCCCTTCAATTAGAGTGGGCCCTTCTATTTTTCCGGCCAAAGTTTTCCGAAATTTTGCATCGAAACAAATTTCTATTTGTGGAGTTCCCGAAATATGAAAAAGTACGGAAATTTTCTGATTTCAAACACACATTTGGAAGGTGGGTCATTTTTCACAAAGGGCTCTTCTATTACAGGGGGCCCTTTTATTTTTCCAAGCACCTCTCGGAGGGCTCTTCTATTAGAGAGGCCCTTCTATTAAAGGAGCCCTTCTAATACAGGTTTTACGGTATTTTTGAAAATCTGATTTTTTCGAGATTTTATATTAATGTAGGGTTACCCATGGGTTACTGTGTTTTGAAAAATTCAACACTTTTAGACATTCCAGATCGAAAATTGGAATTTTGAATTTTGAATTTTTGCAGAAATTTCCATTTTTTCGGATTTCTGAAACTTCGAAATTGCTGATTTTTGATAACTACAGTAATCTAGAACTTTTGAATTTTTAAAAACCCAGAAATTCCAAATTTTTCAAAATTTTCAGGAACTTTGATGTTTTCAAATCCCAAAAATTCAAAAATTCAATTTCTGATTTCAAAACGCATTTTAAAGGAGGCTCTTTTTTTCACAGAGAGCCCTTCTATTACGGGGGGCCCTTTTATTTTTCCAAGCCCCTCTCGGAGGGCTCTTCTATTAGAGAGGCTTTTGACGGTATTCTAAAAACGGTATTCCAGATTTTGGAGCCCCTGTTTAAAGTGTTGAAAATTCGTCCCATTTTTTCACCCTCACCCATCTTTCTCTGACCGAAAAAACAGCTGAAAATTTCTGGCTGAAAATGTTCAAAATATTAAAATATTAAAAATAGAAAATGTCGACAGATAACCCCCTACTACGTTAGCACTGACATTTTTCAGACACAGAAAAATTGAAAGGAGCAGGTGAAAAATTTTTGTGACTCGAAAAAAAAAGAGATTTCCTGAAAACTTCTTCCTGAAATTACGTGAAAATAGTTGAAAATTCACTCCCCCCTCTAGGCCTGATATTTTAGAAAATTCTATTCTTACGTAGATTTGGCTAGGTGCAAAAGATTCAAAAATACGAATCAGAAAAAACTTGGAAATATCTGAAAACTCAAAAATCTAAAAAATTCAAAAAAAAATTGAAAAACCAAAATCTAGAAAAAATCTGAAAGTCGGGAATTTGAATCCAGAAACAATTTCGTAAAACCTGTATTAGAAAAGCCCCTCTAATAGAAGAGCCCTCCGAGAGGGACTTGGAAAAATAAAAGGGCCCCCTGTAATAAAAAACAAAAAACTTTAAAATGCGTTTTGAAACCAGAAATTGAATTTTTGAATTTTTGGGATTTGAAAACATCAAAGTTCCTGAAAATTTTGAAAAATTAGGAATTTCTGGGTTTTTGAAAATTCAGAAGTTCTAGATTAATGTAGTTATCAAAAATAAGCAATTTCGAAGTTTCAGAAATCCGAAAAATGGAAATTTCTGCAAAAATTCAAAATTCAAAATTCAAATTTTCGATCTGGAATGTCTAAAAATGTTGAATTTTTCAGAACACAGTAACCCATGGGTAACCCTACATTAATATAAAATCTCGAAAAAATCAGATTTTCAAAAATACCGTAAAACCTGTATTAGAAGGGCTCCTTTAATAGAAGGGCCTCTCTAATAGAAGAGCCCTCCGAGAGGGGCAAAATAGAAGGGTCCTCTGTAATAGATCCCCTGTAATAGAAGGGTCTTCTGTGAAAAAAGACCCCCCCCCCCCCCCCTGAAAAATAGAATGGCCCCCCTCTAATTGAAGGGCCCCTCTAATAGAAGGGTGCTCCGAAGGTACGGCCCTTCTAATACAGGTTTTACGGTAGCTAAAAACCGAAAAAAAAACTCAGATTACTGTACTTTGGATTACTGTAAAATTCTACTGAAAAAAATCTACGAAAATCTGAATATCGGGAAAATACAAAAATTCCGAATGGGAATTTTGAATCGTAAATTTTGGGAATATCTAAATATCTAGAATCCAGAAAAATCCTGAAATACAGAAAACCTGAAAAACCCAACAAAAATCAAAATTTAACAAAAAATTTGAAAATCTAGAGAAATCTCGAAAAGTCAAAAATCAACTTTTTCAAAAATTCGAAAAAAATTTTAATTCACAAAAAGTTCTAAAACACAGGGATCCAGGGGCTAAAAGAACCCGATTTTTCGTTTATTTTTCTAAAATCCTCAATTAATTAATTAATAATTTTCATCTCGTCATATTAGCGCAACGACACCTCATAAAACTTTCTTATAGGGTAATAGATATCCAGGAAAAAAAATATGGGGTCATCCATCAAGATGGCAAATCTCAATGCCCAGGACAATAGGCAAAAAAAGAAGACTACGGGGCGATAAAAAGCAAATTAATAGTGGTAGGGAGGGGGTCCATGGGGGACACAGGAAGGTGTCAAGTTCATAAATTAGAGGAATACCGAAGATTCTTATCGATTAGGACAGAAAAAGAGGAAGAAGACCACCCATACAGGGGAGAGAGAGAGAGAGAGGCGCAACATGATATATTGTAATTGGGGTGTCAGAAGATGGACTACCTGATTGACTCATCACCTATATATTTCTTCCGGCGCCCCATACTACCAAATTCCGTTTTTCCTAGGAATGAGGGAAAGAAATGAGGAAAGGGACCAAATCTCTTGAGCTTGCGGGACTCAGCTACGCGGTAGTGCTAGGATACGGACTGAAATATAGTCGCTCGAAGTTTGGGAAGTTAGAGACGCAGCGCGTCTCGTCGTCTGCGTCTCTAGCTTGCTGGCGATGTAACTTTTAGAAGGCAAACAACTTAATTTTTCGACGTGTTTAGTATAAGCTTGTAGAGCGGAAAAAACCCTGTAAACCTGTCTTAAAATCACTTTTCTAGCTCATCTATGAGTCGAGATACAGACATTCAAAGTTTGGGAGGTTAGAGACGCACTGTGTCTCGTCGTCTGGCGTCTCTAGCCTCCTAAACTTTCAAGCGATGTATCTTGGCTCATAGATGAGCTAGAAACCTGGTTTTTATACCAAAATGGAGCAAATGAGACTTCGCGGTTTTTTGGCAAAGTAGAAAGTTAAAAACTGTGATAGGTTCCCATAAATCAATTTGATTTAGAAGCCCCTAGGGGAGCTAGAACTCCAAATCCAATCAATTTCAGAAGAACCTCAAGACCTGTTATGGTATACAGCCTGAGCTACACGGTTGCCTGCTTTTCTTTCCCTGCAACTTGGCCCATAGGCGAGATACAGCGTTTCAAGTTTTGTCATTTTGTAGCTCTTGAATTTTCCCATCAGACTCATTCGATTTGTTCCAAACATAATAAGTCGGAAAAAACTTATGGGCGTGTTTGTAAATTTTAACGGAAGCCCATCTTATGTGTACACTTTGAGCTCAATTATCTCGGTTCCTAATTAAGATATCAAATATCTGTCAACTGATAAAGTATTAGTGATATTATGATAATTAATTTTACCTGGCAAAACTTATTTGACATCTCTCATAGGAACCGAGATAATTGAGCGCAAAGTGTACGAGCTATACGCTCACAAGATTTTCTACATTTCTGTCCAGTCTTCAATTTTCTAGCTCTTCTGGAAGCCAAGATACATACGTTTGAAGTTTCTAGCGGAAGTTTCAAACTTCTAAAACTACCTCCAACTTTTTCTTGAGTATTTTTGTCCCCCAAAAGTCTGCAAGATTTCAAAACCACCAACTTCCTCCGATTTTTTTTCAGACGACTGCAGTAAATCATCATCGGATGACGAGGACACGAACGACACGTCATCTGCCTCCTCCTCATCGGCCCGCCGAAATCGTACATCATTCTCCGCCGAACAACTTGACGTACTTGAGACATCCTTTCGAGCATCCACCTATCCAGACGCTCAAGCCAAAGAGCACATCGCCAAGGAGACAGGGCTATCGGAGGAAAAAATTATGACATGGTTCTCTAATAGAAGGGCACGGTGCCGAAAGAATATGCCCATTTATCATCAGTACAATACCGCGCACGGGTTTAATGGACCACAGGTGAGCTAATTTTATAATTAGAGAAGAAACATTCGAAATCAAAAAATAGAAATCTAGAGGATCATTTTTGTTCAAGAACCACGTTTCTAGCTCTTCTAGAACTCGAGATATAGCCATCTGAAGTTTAGACGCTCTAGCTGTCTGTGTCTCTCTTGCCGCGCGCGAGAGACGCAGTATGTCTCGTCGTCTGCGTATCTCGTCTCTTAAACTTCAAAGCGCTGTATTTCGACTTCTAGACGCGCTAGAAATGTGATTTTTGTTGCAAAATGTTCCAGAATTTTCTGTCTTTCTCAGAAATAAGGAAATAAGTGGTTTTTAATAAAATTTTGGTGTCAAATTTCCCGATTTTTAACCTCCCAGCCTCTAATTATTTTGATTCTCAGACATATCCTGCACTTCTCCCATCTCCAATGATGTTTCTCCCCGGATACGGTACTTCTCCGCAGCTGAACCCTCTATTCTTCCAGAACATTCTTCAAACCAGTCCCTCTTCAACCCAATCCTCACCCCCATCGAGCTAGAATGGTCCCTAGGAATCCACTCTCTCATTTTTTGACTTGTATTTTACTTCAACGGGTTTCCTCAACTTTTTTGTTGGCT